ATTCCCATTCCACACACACTCACCCCCAATTAGGGAATCAAAAGAGGAAAAAGGAACCTCAAAGGGAAGCGCTGGAAAGTCTGCTAATAACCTGATTAGAGATTAGCTGGAAGCTCGCAGCACTGAGGCTTAATTAAATGCTACCTGGGAAAACTGCGACCAGGGAATTTTCTGCCACACATGTGAAAGTGAAGCCACACAAAAGGCGAAGCAAGAGCAACAATTTCCATTTGCTTTTACGCTGGTTTTTCCCGCTGCCCCGCGGCTGGCCGCACAAAAAAGGATAATGTTTCACTGGTGGTCGGTGGTCGGTGGTCTGGTCCTGCTCATCGCTTGTATCCATTACACTCGACTGGCGATGACCAGGGATCGGAAATGAAGGCTACACAGAGGGGTGACCAAGAGTGATGGCAGCCTGGAAAAACCAGCTAGGTTATAATAGAGAAACTACTTAAATTTCAGCTAGGAAAATGCCAAAAGAGCTGCCTCTAACGATTAGTGGAGTCCATCAATGGCACATCAAACTGTCCGGCAATAACAACAATGGAACCATTCAATCAGCGCGCATAAAAACATAAAGAGATTTTAATTTTTTGATTATGTGTGTGTGCGTGTCCTGCATTTCCCCCGGGGGGGAGAAGAAAACTCTCCTTTGTTGGAAATCGTTAATCAATGAACTCCATGCGTGCAAGGACTCTGCCCTGCTCTGCCCCTCGATTTTCCGGCAAGACGGAAGAGAGAAAGAAAAGACCCTTGGTCAGATCGCTTGTACGCTTTAGCATAATAAAAAAATCAACATCGTTTGGCCGGAAAAACCGGACTTGATTAAATTTCAATGTTGATGTCGTGCCAGGACTTGGACCATAGACAGGACCCTTCTCTAATGCGGCGTAATTTCGATTTAAGTAATTTCCTTCTTTAGCATTCGTGCATGGCCATTGATATGTATAGTAAGTAGTCTGTAGCCCTGCATCTGACGGAAAGGAAAAACCTATCCGATAATTGGAGTCAATCAAGGGAATGGCGTGAGTGGAAAATGGAACTTGATTAGTAACAGTTCAGAGTGTGAGTAGTTCTCTGGCAATTAGGGTACTAGGACCTTAAGACCTTTTTCTGTGCGATGGGTTCATCATTAGGAAGACTTAATTTAGTCCAACTTGATGGGTTTTAGTTTAATTGAACGTGTTCTAGAGTGACACTCTCCAGGGAACAACTTAAAGGGAGCTTACTTAGTGTTTTTTGAACTTGAATATAATTTTTAAATTAATGAAATAAGGATCTAAAGATACATAACAGAAATTTAAGATACTTGAGATACATAATATGTTTTCTAGATTTTAATAAAAAATAAAACCTACCTAAAGGAAGGTAGCTAAATTCATAAATTCAAATAATAAACATCATAAACTCACTTACTTGTATAATGTTTCCCCTTGTTACCTTATATTTATTTGTTTTGAAATGGAATTAAAGAACCCCTTTCTCATGCACATTTTCCCTACCTTTCACCTTCGGTAAACTCAAGTAAAACTCTCTTTCCTTTACATTCAAGTACCCTAAATTGCATATTGTCGAATCCTTGGAAAATGTATTGCCTTATCAAGCATATCCTATATTGTTATATCCCCTTTCCTCGGTGTCTCTCGATAGGAACCTCCTGCTTCCGCTCAATTAAACATTCGAATGCAATTTGAAGAGAATCCTTCTCGCGGCAACAACAAAAGACAAATCATTCCTATTAATTCCGCACTCGTGGAATGTTTCATTACCAGTTACAACCCAGGCAGCACTTTCTGATACTCCACATGTGCCTTTCTTTTGTGAGGATTCGAATTCAGATTCAGATGCTGAGCTGGAGATGGAGTTGGAGTTGGAGTTGGGTGCTCCTGCTTACTTTTAATTTGCGTGCCCTGCCTTATTACGTTCATTCATATGCAAATCGCTGGACTGTAACACACACACAGGCTCAGGCCGTGAAGAGGGAAAAGTCACTGGAGATGGAAATTCGAAAGGGGAGTTTGGAGATGGAAATGGAAAATGGCAGAGGTTGCCTCGCATTGTTCAGCATTCGCTGGGAGCGATTAAAAGAAAACTTGAAGAAGCACTGAAAGAAAAGTTAAAAGAAAAGTTAAATATACAATTTTTAAGATTTTGTTTCAAGAAACACAAAGTAACTTATGTTTTGCTTTTTGACCTTTTCCTTGTCTGCATTTTTTGTTAAAGAAAACCCATTTTTAAAACCTAAAAAATGTACGTTTATTAAATATGTCAAAAATACCTTTCAAAAACCTAATTTCCCAGTGTATTCTTAGCCTTCGAGGGCTCTACAAAAAACATCTTAAAGAAGGTTTCAACTGAAACTGAGGCTGAGCCTCCGGAGCCGGGGGATTTTCACCTCGTAACCCAAAAATTCGCCGGGGTTGTTGGTGTTTGATGTATTCGCCATTGTCTCCCACCCCTGAGCCCGAAAAACGCTTTATGGGGTTGGTCCTGCCATCGAGAAGTACAGTCCTTCGCGTACTTTTGTCCTGTCCCACATCCCATATCCCATATCAAATTTAAACGAATCGCTTCCGCTTAGCGGAGACTGCCCGGAGTTAGGGTTATGGGCATTATAAATTTCCAACATCAGTTCGAAATCCAAATTGTATCGTTTCCATTTCCTCGTTTTCCCATTTCCATGATTATTGTTTTGCATTCGCTTTGTTTGGCGAAACAATTAATGTTATTTGCATAGTTGGTGGGTTGTCGGGATATAAGGACGATGTAAGGTCCGCATGTGGTCCAATTTGGTGGGTTTTGTGTCTGAAGTTTTCCAACCGCCTGCGGCAGACCTTTCTCCTTCCTCGTTAACTGGTCTTTTACGGCTATCAAATTGTATTTGACTTTCCAAATCTGTTGCGATGCGGGGAAAAGAGTGTCTGACTGACAGGCTCAAGAGGTCCTTCGTCTTTTATTTTCCTACAAGTGTTTCCCAATTCACCGCATTATCTCAAGTGCTGCGTGCTAATGTGCAAAAACTGTCCTTCAAGTTTCGCTACATACAAAAAAAAAAAAAGGAGAGTTGGAAAAAACCACTCGAGTCCTTGGGAATCCTGCAAGTGTTTTCCCATACCCTCATGTGTGACATTGCCGCTGCTGTGCTCACCTTATTTATTTATTTCCCAGCGCAAAATGACACGAATTTGTCATCTCGGTACAGTCACGAACGGCTTGTTAAGGCCACCACCACCCCCTGCCCATACCTTCTGACACTCACATATGTCGCTGTTTGCTTAGCCACACCCACCGAAAGAAGGTCCTGTTGAAAGTCCTAGGGCGGTGGTTTGTTTGCTCTGCGCGGCTGAAAAGTTCAATTAGAAAAAAAAAAGTTACGAAATGCTTATAATTAAGTTTTATACGAGAAAGAGTATGCAGATGTGCTGCCCTTTTGTGTAATTGGAATTAAATATTCCTTTGTTACGCGACCTCTGAGGTGCCCCCGGGCTCTGACCTGCAACCTGACACAGTGCCCTATATAAAAAATCATTTAAGCCTAAGGAAAAGTTAAAGTTTTCGACTTGTGGGTAGTTTATAAAGTTTACGTTCTTCAGAGCTAAATTTGAACGATTTTCTCTAATTTGTAATAATTTTTTTCTATACATTTTAAAGCTTAATTTGTAAGAAGAATAATGAAACTATAGGCATACCATATTAGGAATACCAGTGGAAAATTCTATATATTTTCTTTCTAATTTACACTTCCTATATAGAGAATTATAGACCCTTTTAATAGAGAGAATGTAGTTTAATAATCCTAAATCCCCTCCTCCCCAATTCATTAACATCTCCTTCTCCTTAAAATTCTAAATAAAATTATAAAAACGGAAGGAAATCACCAACAGCTGAACGTCTGCTTGATTTTGCAATAATTTGTATTTGTTGTTCTCTGATTTTTCAACAGCTTGTTGCTAATTTTTAATAAATATTGAGCACGCGTGTTGAAGTGCGCGATTTTCTTGGGGGTTGCTTTGCCCTTTGGCCCTATGCAAATTTCCGAAATAATAATTTTCGCATAAAACGAAAGTCATTATGAGGCTCGCCTCACGTGCGCGATTATTGCTCTGGAAAAAGGTACAAGGACGATGATTATTATCGCGACAGTTTTTCCATTATGGAACGATTATGGGGCTGGCATGTGAAGGATCTTGAGTTTTGGTCTCAGTTTATTATTTATGTTTAATTTAGTGGCCACGTGCATGAAATGACTCTATTATTACTGGAACTTGGTACAGTCGTGGGTCTTATACAATTTTTTTTTTTTTGATATTATTTTGCATACTTGTGGGGATTTTAATTAACTTTAAGTGTAGAATGAGCAAGTATTAAAAAAAAAAGAAATACTAGATTTAAGAAGTAAGTGTTACAAGTATAAAAAAAGTTCTAAAACATTTTAAAAGGATATTTTAAAGTTGCCTAGAACTACTAGACAAAGTATGTATTAAAAAAATGTATTGCATTTATGAATTAATTATTTAAAGTAATAAAATATTTTCTACAATATTTTTTAGGTATATTTTTAAGTTGCCTAGAATTATTTATTATTTTTACATTTCTTTAATTTGTATAATGATATTTATTTTTTATTAATAAATAAATACTTGAAATAGTATCATATATTTTAACAACTTTCTATATTCTTCCTTTAACTTTAACTGACATTCTGATATAAAAAAAAGAATATAAAAAAGCAAAAACAAGCTGCTTTCTCTAAGCAGATAGTAGTGCTCATCTCTAAGTAAATAATGTCTAAATCTTAAAGTTTCTGATAAGAATATTATAAAAAGCAATTGGCAAAAATACAATTATTTCTTTATAAACAAATTTCGCTCTTTACATTTTTTTTATATATTTTATTTATATATTTTTTTATATATTTCTTAATATATTTTATTTAAACGTTTTTGTAAATCTTACCAGCTAGTTATTTATATTAATACAAACTTATTTATTTATGTACTCTTAAGAAAAGATTTTAAAGTACCTTAAAAATCCATTATTTAATCTTATTATTATTATTTTTACGATTCCTTCTCCATTGACGTCTTACAATAGGCTGTCCCAAGTGATTCTTTCGAATAGCTCCTGTTAATCCAGACCTGTATAAACGGCTTCTTGTGGAATTATAATCCTCCTACATAAACCGATTTAAGAATTTTAGGATTTATTTCAGAAAACCATAAATAAATACATACCTCAAATAAAATATTTAAAAGACTTGGTGTTGTAGATGGGCTGTCTTTGCTTACTGGAAGATGTTCTGCAGATTCCGAGCTTTTGCAGTTAACTATTCTTCGAAATGGCATACGATTTTGGGATTCCCTGGTGTTGTAGACAGTTTCCTATATAAAAATATGCATATATATCATTTATATATTATTTATTTTAGCTTAAAGTTTAATCTAGACTGCAGTAAATGTTTAGAAATATATATTTCTTAGAATAAAGCTTTACATTATCTTCAAAAATAGCAATTTTGGCAATTTTCTTTCTTCTTTCAAAAATAATTTTAAATTCATTTAAATTTTAAGATAGTCACTTACCCTGGTAGAATCCACTTCCCCTCCATTGAGTAAAAAACACAATCCGCTGAATATAAACAGCATTAGCCCGTGGGAGTAGTAGTGGCTTTTCATTCTGACCGTTTCCCTCGAGCTGCACTTCGGGTTTGATAGGAAAGACTCTGCCTGAAGCTCACTAAGAACGCATATTCCGAGACTGCAGTTCCGATAGTGATGCTCCCTCATTTCCCTAGTCTCAGTGCGCATTTTTCTGCTACATAATGACACTCGGAGTGATAAGAGGAAGTAAAATCGACTCTCTGACATTTGCGTAATTTCTTGCCTCTGCGGACAATCCATTCCATTAACTAATGAAAGCGATCTCCGGATACTTTGCCATTTTTATTTCACATTTATTTGTATATACACTCGCAAATTCCCTCCTCTTTTTTCGCATTTTAATTTCATTGAGTTTATACAACAATTTGGCCCAAATGTTACACGGCTCAACCCTCTGTCAACCCTCCTACCGCCATGCAAAAATAGCAAAAAGGACCCAGGATATGTCCTGTTCTGAGGACGCGTTTAATGGCATGTCAACGTCTGTGTGGCACGTTGGCATTTATTGATACGTCGCTCAGTTAACAAGTCGATAAAGTTTTATAGTTGAGGGTCTCAGCTGCGAAATGGAAATGCAATTGCCAGTGTCATAAAGGGAAAAACAAGGCGGCGAAAAACAAAAGTTAGAAGGAAAACCCACCTGGAAACGAAGGGTTTCCAGTTTGGCTTGGCCATATGGCTAATTTCCTGGTCTGCCTTCTAATTTCCCAATTTGAAAAAACAAACTTTTCACAAAGCCCAGTGCACAATGCAATTATCAAACTGAAAGGCAAAGGCAAACATAAAACTCTTCACTGAAAACTCGACCTCGAGTTCAGGGGGGGTTGCCAGTAAATTGATTAGAGGACTTTTCCCCTTTTTGTACTTTGGCCCCTGGAAAGTAGCTCAAATTGACTTTATAATTGCCAGATGGGCGTGGTCATAACCGAATTACGCCGCCCATTAATGAAAAAAAAAAAAAAATGGAAAATAAATGCTAGGCTTTTGCGGTGGCCAACGTTTTGATTGACACTTGAATTGATAGGACAGCAGATGTGAAATTACCTTTTGGGGTCTTTAATAAGGTTGTTAAATACCAATCTTATTTATTAATGGGATTTTTATTTTTTTTTAAGCTCTGCAATTTGTACTTATAATTAGATATTGAAAGAGAGAAAAGATATTGCCTAAAAAACAAGGGAATTAATATTTGTCAAACTAAACAGATATCTCATTTTATGTTGCGATATAAGAGTCTGTATTGAGAAACTTGAAGAACTCTACATTATCTACAATTCATCTGATATTTATAAACAAATTTATTCCCCAATTTATCCCTAATATTCCCCAAGACCACCCATCAATTGAAAATCTAAAGCTTGACTTCATTGAGAGGGTTTTCGTGGTAAAAAAAAACCAAACCGGTTATCAAAGATATACTGACCATAACTGATTCCTGAGTAACACTCCGTCTGCCTTTCAATGTCATTCATGTTTGCCAATTTCCATATCTATGTGTATGTGGTTCAAGGTTAAGCAAAAATCGCCAAAAGCCCGATAATGAGCTGCACAAGCATATAAATATATATATAAATATATCTCTGACTGCTCTGGCGCCTCAGAGTCTTGTATCTGCCTTTTTTTCGAGCTTTGCCAGCTGATAAACATCATGAATATTAATGCACGCATATATCATATATCATATAGTAATCACCGTGGGCATTAAATCAAAGCCAGAGTCAGAGACAAGAGTCAGGAGAGTCAAGTTCACTTTCACTGCATGACGCACCGTGAGCCACCGTGCTCTTAACCGTTTTCCACTTGGTTTTTGGCCAATTTTGGCCAGTGGCCCACTGGCGATCGGACACAACACCTGCGCATCGCATACAAATGGCTCGCGCGGATTGGGAGCCTGACTATTTTCGGATATGTATTTTTTCGTAGTTTTTTGTATTCTTTTGATTTTTGGATTTTTTTTTGGAGGAGACCTGATGAATGGCCTGGCATCGATTTTGGCATACGATTTGGATTCATTTTGGGTTTGTGTTTATTTTTTATTGTGTCAACTGGCTTTTGGCAGCCATTGCATCACTTGACCATTTTTATTTTCGGCCACGTTTTCGAGTGCACGCGAATGGCGGGTGAAAGCAAAGTGTGGCAATCAATGACGACATCAACCTGATCGCAGTTTGGACTGCACTAGCGGGTTTGACCAGCTGGCGGAGACGACTGGCCAACAGCGAAACAGCTGATGGTGATGATCACAAAAGCCATCGATCGATAAAGTCTCAATGGATGCACTTGAAGAAAAAATGTATGATTTGATAAAGGAATTGTTTTTAAATTATAAAAAAAAATATGTAAAGCTTAGTTCAAACTGTAAACAGGAAGAAGAGAGCTACATAAAGTATGTAAATTCTTGATTTCAACATCAACAGGCGAATCGATTTAGACATCAGTATGAGTATCAGATCTAAAAGTTCTGGGTTATAATCTAATATGGCAATATTTTTATATATTAATTTATATTTTAGAGCACATATATATTTAAAATATATATTCTATTTTAATTTAAATATTTAAATAATTGTTTAATATAGGTATACAATGAAACTACTATAGTAAAGGAAATATTTTATACTTTAATTCAAAATTAAAAAGAACATAAATAAATAGAAATATAATAAACAGAAAATAACGTTCTTGAAATTGTGATTAAATAATCCGGAAATATTTTAAATAAGCACTTAATATTTTACTGTGGATTGTGGTTAAAGAAATTTAAATTTAATCTTGAAATTATTTATTTACTTTAGAATTTACTTCCTTATAATATTATTTTTACTTAATAAAATATATGTATATAACAGTTTTAAAACCTCATTATTATTCCTAGAAACTTATTTAATATTAAACAATTTCTAAAACCCTTATAAATCACTAATCGATGACTAGTTCCCTGGAAAATTGTATTCACCCATGAAAAATGCATAATTTCCGTGACTCAACTGCAGTTTTTCCTTGTTTCCAGCCGACTCGCTAATAAAAACTCCATAGAGCGTGTAAATAATTCAGTAGTTTATTTAAATAGAAACATGTTTTTCAGACTTTTGTTAGCTTCCACACACTGGCACTCTCTGGGTATCACTCGCATTCCGCACTCACTCTCACTCACACGCTTAACCAAATAGTTGATGGCTGTTAGGTAATTAGCAAAATATGTACAAATATGGACGGGATGCAAATAGATCTGAATATCGGATCAGAACAGCTGCCCCGCCCATTTCAATTAGGCGCCGATTGTTCTTCCCCCCCGACAAAAATATGGAAATATAGAAATCTGACGTCAAGACAGCTGTGGCTGTTGCAGGGATTGCGTCTGTTGGTTTTTAGACTTATCCATCTGGACAACGCCCTCAATCCAGTCTGTGTACTCGGCCACATTCGTGTACACCGCCGGCTTTCCGGCCATTCCGCACTGGGTGAATCCATAGCTGACCACTCCATGGGCCACCCAACGTGAGTGCAGCCGATCAAAGTACATCAAAGGACCTCCCGAGTCCCCAGCACAAGTATCCTTGGCGAACTCACCGCCGGCACAGATCTGCTTGGGCCCCAAACGCACACCAAAGGCCTCCAGAATCTTGGTGCAGTTCTCATTGGAGACATAAGGAATGCGCAGCTTCAGCTTGATGGGACTATGGATGTTGATGAAGTATTTGTTGACTGAAAATTAAGAATAAAATTTAAATATATAGTTTAGATTTGAAATATATATTCTTATATTAAACTTTACTTGAACTTAATCAACAAACATTAGTTCCAAGTTATTCTAATGGCAAAGAATTTTTAGTATTTACCTTTGACAAACTTGAGAAGATTGACGTATGTATTCTCTTTGTCTGCGAAGACTTTGTATTTAAACAAGACCACGAAATGATTTTAATGAAAACAAAACAAGTCTCAAAGTGGAAAATCCAAATTTTGTTTTATGGGAAGTTAAAAAGTGGTAAATATTATGATACCAAAGATATTTTCCTGTTTTATATAATCAAGCTGACATTGTTCTAACGAAATCAAAACAAATAGAGACAGAATATTGTTTGTACTATTAAAAAAGGAACTTAAAACTTAAGTAGATCTTAAAAATGAAGGGTTACTTGTTCTTACATTTTTAAAGAATTTTTTAATAAATTTAATACTCACACAGATCCGTTCTTCCCCAACCAGAAACTGAGAACATCTGACCCTCGGCCAAGGTCAAAGGCTCCGTCTTATTGGGCAGACATATGGGCATTACAAAATGCGTAAAGGATACGGGATGTTTCAAACGAATAATGGCTATATCATTGTATTTATAGTTGGAGAATTCCTTGTACTCCGGATGAACATGGATTGTCTCATAGCCAATGTCCAAGGCGGCATCGGCACAGCTTAAATAATTTGGTTCCTCAATGCAATCCGGCTCCGTTTTAACATTAAATTCACCCAAACGAACATGTTTTCTAAGGGTTATAAGAGATTTTTAAAGGATATTTTATGGGTTATATTTTTAAGAATTTTATATTTAAAGCTACTTACAGTCCCCGTCTCTCACGCACACCTTCGCCTTGGACACAATGGGCGGCTGTGAGGATATGACGATCATCAATCAAGGCTCCACTGCAGCCATAGTCATCTGGTATGAGGAGTTTATATATTATATATTATATATAATAAAGCTTTTCTTAAACTTACTTGAATTGTAGACTAGTAACGCCAGCCAGGGATACTCATCAAGTTCAGCTATCTCCCCGCCATAGATCCTATTTGTCACCTGCTTGCCGCACTCGTTGAGCAGATTAAACCCAGAGCTGGGCTCTACAGTTTGTATACGACGCTTTAGCTTTTTACGCTTAAAACGAGAAGTGACATCCAGAAATCGCCGGTACTCGAACTTGGAGAATTGCAGCACAGGAAATAGATAATCCTGGCCATTGGCTGGGCAGCACACCAGTGACTCGTACGAACTTTCAATATCTCCCACTCGTTGCTCCATTTCACACTGAACCTTCTTGAGGAAGTTCACCTTCTCCGCCGGCAAATTGGTGGCATTTCTCACCTGCAGATATGCCGCACACTTACTGACCTCCAGGCAGATGCCCCTCTTTGATTCATTGGGAATATCGCACTGTTGGTGACCCATCTCAGCCAGCGCCAAGAAACAAAAGCCCAAGAAAATCCATAATTGAAGAACCGAACTAAACTGCATTGATATATGTATATATAAGATATAGATACTATCTGCAGATACAGTATCCACGAGATGAAGCGGCGGCCAAGGCGTACGAATCGAAACTGAATGGCAACTCAGTTCGTGTGAGCAGAGTGCCAAAAAAATAAAAAAACATAAATATAAAATAGCCGAACTCAAAGCCGAAGACCCCGAAAAGATCGGATAGGTCGGAAGAGCCGATCAGCCGAAGAGCCGGCTCCGTAGCTACGCTCAGGTGTCAACAGGTGACACCGCCCCCGCCCCATTTCAGCGCCACAGCAGAGCTCAGTTTCAGGCCGACAGAAGAAACGAGTCCAAAAGTGCAGTCGGCAGGTCGAACGATCGGCCGGACGGTCCGGTTATAATATATTGCATAATCGAGGTAACTCAGCTGGCCAGCTGGTTTCACTTTCGTTGAAGATGAGAGAGTGACGATGTGCCGGTTTTGGCTCAAAAGTATTGCCAACTTTTCGGCCGGGTTTTGAAATGTGCCACTGTGCTTAATTTTGATGTCTTAAGAAATTTTAAAAAATTCCCAAGGGAAGATATAGGTTTTTAAACAAATTTCCTGCTTTTATATTTCTAAAGAATATTTTCCTACGATTTTAGTTTTGAAAATTTAGAAGTTTGCTTCTCTGTAAAGGATTTATATGCTTATAGATTCCCAATTCTTATAAATTATAAATTATTTAATAATTTTTTTATATTTTCGTACAACACTTTTAGGCGTCTTAAATCCCCTGAAAAAAGCTCACTCACAATTTAAGTTTTGTCCAAAGTCCACGGAACAACAAAAGACACCTGCCAATACCGGAAGTTTTCTTGTGGTTTCTGCGGCCATAAAAGCCGCCAATTAAAGCGCGGTGGCAATGTCATTGGCTGGCGAGATTGTTCGAGGTGTCGCACTCGGCGGAGTCTGCTGGGAAATCCAAAGGTCAAAGGTCCGAACAGGTCAATCACTTTAGTGGGTTGAATTGAAAACTAAAGTTTCTAGGGGTTAAAAGTCTAAACAGAAACCAGATTTCAATTATGTTATTTAAAGATCTTGTGAAATAAATTAAGAATTGTATATTGTATAAAAAACATCTGTTATTATTTTGTTTAAACTTTATATTCATTTATTCTTAATCATCTCGGCTGCAATTAGCATTCTACTTGTTTCAAGTTCTGCCTGACCTATATTTGTGTTTAATATTAATGGAAATTTTTTAATAAACAAAATATTTACATACATATTCATATTTAAAAGTGTGCTAAATATAAATTAAATAATATGTAAAATGTTTTTAATATATGTATATTGAAAGCGAACGTTGAGCAGGTAAAGGAAAGCTTCAACGTTTAATCTTTGGGTTTTCTCAGTTTTTGTGGTTATATTTTAATAATTTTTATGATAAGTGAAAGCATGCCAATAATACAAATAAATTCTCTGTTAAGAAATCTGCATTCTTCTCTTATTTCTTAAATAAGAAATGATGACGTTGACAACTTACATATCCATATTTTTATTTTCACCAAAACTTTACAGAATGTTTAATTTTTGTAAGTCATAAAATTCAAAGAAATCTCATTTTAATAAAGTACTTTATTGGCAAATTTTATTATAATAATATTATAATCTAAACTAACTAAATTAATTACCTAACTAAATTGTAACAATAAAAATCACATTTTGAGTTTTCAACCCAGGAAAAGAAATCATTTTCTAAGCCCTCACATTCTGCTTGATCCAGATATCGTAGGCAGCAACGTTTGTATAAACTCCGGGCCAGTCCTTCAGACCACACTTGTAGCCAAAGGACACGATGCCCTCCAGGACCCAAGAATCCCCTCGGAATCGCATCAATGGTCCACCGGAGTCTCCATCACAGCTATCCTGTCCAAACTGTCCGCCGGCACAGAGTTGTGTGGACTCAACAGCAATTTTGATCTGTGAGAATCGCTGACGACACTTTGCCGGCTCCACATAGTTGACCTCCACTTTCTGCTTGATGGGACTCCGGGCCATCTTCAGGGTGCGACCCCAGCCGGCCACCGTAAAAGACTGACCAGACTGGCGCATTTCCGGACCCACAGACGAGGGCAGGCAAATGGGTCGAATGCTGTCCGTGTATCGCACATTACGCTCCAAGCGAATTAGACCAATGTCATGGATTTGGTTCTTCGACTTCTCCGTGTATCTCTCGTGAACCCGGATCTCCTCGAAGCCCAGACGCTGGGCCTCCGGGGAGCAACCGCCACCGCCAGGGGGACAGTCCACGGCGGTACGTGTGTCATGCTCACCCAGTCTCACAGAGGCACTGGAAAAATTTAAAGAAAAAGATTATAATAAGACGTCACGACTATGAAATACCTGGCATTATAGGGGGTATATATTTTTAATGAAAATTTCATTAAATTCCTAACAAATATTAAAAGGTCAAGATTGAAAATATATCGATTCTATTATCGATTAATTAACAATTTTATATCTATAGAAATCAAGCAATTAAGTATTGATAATACCAATAAATTATCTAAAAAATGTTGACTAAAAATGTATCCTCAAAAAAAATTAAAAATATAATATTTCGATTTCATCATAAAAAATCTAACAAAATCGATAACTATCGAATATATCGATAAGTTATTCATTATGGTGTACCTCTTGATATTAAAATTTGTATTAAATAAACCTGGAAAATAAACTTACACCTGTTACACAACCTTCCCTGAAACCAATATACCCTTATACCCCAAATACCACTCATAAACGGAGCGGAGCAAAACTCAATGAATGAGCATTTAAACGCCGACAATTAAACACTAGAATTAGCCTGCTAATTGGTGCTTGGCCAACGCCGAAATCGAGAACCCACAGAGAGATATATGATAGTGAATCATCGGAGCTACGCTAACCAGAGGCAAAACACCTCGAATCTGGTTTTGTAGCCGTCTCTAATGAATATTCTTGAAACAAGCGTCTAACTCAGCTTGGGGATCCCTTTGGCCTCGTTAACTGATTTAGCCGGAGAAGGCAGCCTGGTTCGTGGAAATATCGGGCCAATAAGCGTGAATAAGCCACTTTCGCCGTCACAACGAAACTGGATTGGAGAGTAGTCACGATAAGATCGTAATACTAAAACTTGATTCACCTATAGCATTGGTTTCCATTCATGAATCGATATGTGGAAGATCGGTTGTAAAAATCCCCCTAATGCTACTGTCACAAACATCAACAAATCATTAACAATATGGTCATGTTTGGCTTTGGATCTCAAAAAAGAAAGATGTTTATGTTTACACAAGAGATAGCCAGTAAAATTCCCCACTTAAAGTGTCAGAATCTTTTGGGATGTGTCAAAGAAGTCTGGCACAAAGGCTGGCACCAGGAGGTGAACCCCCTTTGAGGTGAACTTAGGGAACTCTGGAATTGTGGTTAAAATAAATATATATATGCAAAACAGAAAACCCCCTTGGGGCTTAAAAGAAATGTTGCAATTAATCAGATATTTCAGGGTTCTTAGGGATCTTTTGAAAGATAATGGAAATTTACCAAGATAAATTGTTTGTGACTTGATTTTTGGTTAATAAAATCTGGACAAAATCATTCAAAGATCACATAGATATAGATTGGCCAATTGTATCTTTGAAAAATACTTTTGTTAAGCAATAATAATAATATAAATCCCTATATCCCTAAACCTATATTATATTGCATCTTTTCTATACTCACAGCGCTCCAATTTCCCTTTCGATCCTTCCCGTCAGACAATGGGCAGCCGTGAGAACATAACGCTGATTGATCAGCGATCCTGAACAACTGGTGGCCAAACCATTTCCAGTGCGTCGACGATACTCCAGCAGAACCATCCAAGGAAACTCATTGAGGTCAGCATCTTCGCCATCATAGATCCGGTTCTTAATGGCCACACCCCCACAATTGGGGGGCTGGGGCAGCAATCTAGAGCCATCGGCTCCATTGAAAGTGGAAGTCTGAACGGAGCTCCTATCGCTGGCCTGCTGCTGGCCAAAGCTCCAGGGTCGACTGACTTGTTGATTGGGAAAGGTAAACCTAGTGGAACGCTCCTCCTCCCAGTCTCCACCAAAACCATCGTAGTCAGGGAAGGAAGGTGTCAATCTCTGTGTCCTTCTGGTATATCCAGTATCCTGAGTGCAGCAGACAAAAGGTTGCTTATCCGCTCCCATGCCACAGGCTGAGTTCTTGATGAATTGCTTCTCCGAATCGGTTAATCGGTCCTGCTGGAGCACGGAGTACAGCGTCTGGCACTGCTTGATGTGCACACAGAAGCCACTTCGCTGGTTGGGATTCAAGCAACGTGTATCTGCAGAAATATATAAAAATAAAAATAGATTAAAGGAGGTAGAAGCTGAAGAACCAGATCCCCAGGGGATGCCCCGAAATGCACGCGCCTTCACTGTTCTGACATTCTTGCGGTTAGGCAGAGCCAGGTGGCTTGTATCTTTTAGATTGATTATGACACACTCGACAAAAAGTTGTTAATTAATTAGGTTTGACTTTAAATTTAAATTGTAAAACATTAATTATTATTATTTCACATATTACTTAATTATACTTAAATCATGAATGCAACTTCCTGTACATTTTTTACAAAGTATCTGTTAATTGTCACTGCAATTTTCCACACTCTGGGTTTTTTTAAAATAAACTTTCAAGTGCAGTCACTCATCGTGACCACAAATCTCTTGACCACCGGGCACTGCCCACTTGGAGCTTGGCGCGTGAATTTTGTACTGCGGGACGGGTTTTAATAAAAAATTAAATACGAACACGACGTTTAGTTTTTCAGTGGCGAATTATAACTGATTTGTCTTTATTCAAAAAGTCGTATTTAAAGGGTTTTACATTTGGGTTACAATTGGTTGGTGTTGGTGTACTTAACTTGAATTATGATTTAGCTTATTCTATATGATTGCGAAACATGCTGATTAGACTTATTCTATCTGCGGTGGTTTCGTTATGAACCCGGAAGCATATAGGAGTTTAATAACTCATGTCGCGAAATTGTTTACTAAAGGGCAATGAAATTAGGTCACGGTTGCGAAACCGGATGCTTACAAGAGTTTATTAACTCGTGTCGCGAAATTGCTTACTTTACATTTATAGAGTCCAATAACTCTTGAACTGTCTGGCTAATTGGTTTTGTTTGTGTATTATGGACTGGGAATGAAGTGGATCTGTACATAACTTCTCCCCCTTTAGAAAAGAATTCTCCTGAATTCTATTACTGTTCAGTTGAACTTTGATTTTTTTGTGTTTTAATACAATCAGGGTTATTAATATGATTATTAATACAATTACAGCGGCATTAAAGGAGTAGATGATATCTTTGTGTGTCTTTAATTGTTTAATGTTTACCCAGTTTATTTTATTGTTTTCTAATATGCTTTCAAATGTAATTTGTTTTGTAAAATTTTGGATTTGTTCCTTTTTTTCGAATAATATTTTTTCATTTTCTTCTTCGACAGTGTTGGTAAAATAATTATTATCTATACCTATTGTACAATTTACAAAATGTATTAAGGTGTTATTTACAATTTGTATTGTTTTGTTGTTACAATTTTGATATAATGTTTCGTTATTCGCATTATTTATTACTATGGTTTCCTCGTCTAGTTCTATTATTTCCATCTCTTTACTTTTTATTAGTTTACAATTGTTTTTAATTATACAATGCTTGCTGTTTTTCATTTCTTTTAATTTTTTATTACTTTCGTATGTGTATGTAATGTTTTTATATTTAAATATAACTTCGGACTTGTGATCTATTTCAAAATGTTCATAATTAGGTACGGGAATTATTTGTTGGGTTTTTATTGTAATAAAGTTTGTAGGAATTTCGATAGCGAATATTAATAGATTATTTTTCAAAACTGCTGTAGCTAGCTTGAGATTATTTAGTTTGTTGAAATTTATATTATATTTTGTGATCTCAATATCTGTCAATATGCTGGGGTGTAAGATATTGTATCTGGCGGATGCAACGTTGTCTTGTAAATGTTCTATTTTATTTCTTATTAATTGAATTTTTATTTGTTGGTCATAATATAGGTTCTCCTGATTTCTTGTATTTTCATATTTGTTAATTGAACTTAACTGACTTTCTATAGCTCTCCTGTCTGATTGGATTAGATACCTTATGTGACTGATTGTGTCGTTGAAGTATGTGTTAATATAAATTTGTTTGTTTACTAACTCATTGGTTTCTTGCATGTTTTCCTTGAAATTAGATAAGTGATTTTCTATAACTTTTCTGTCTTCTTCGTCCATTGTTCCAAACAACCATTTTGCTCCACTGCCTACTGCGTTAACCAGTCCTCTTCTTTTACGTGTATGATTTCCATATAATGTGTATAGTTTATGTTTTGTCTCTGTTAGTTGTGTCTCTAATATATGTTTGTTGTCGTTTTTTAACATTTGTATGTTGGTTTCTAGATCACCTAACGTGTCGTCAATGTCTTTTAAATTAATTATGTGAACTATTATGTCTGTAGTCGTTACTATAGCTTGGTCTTTTATATCTATTAGTGCGTATCCGTCTTGGTCAAGTATCTGTTGAGTCGTCAATGTTCCTGATATTGTCGTTATTGTTAATAGTATTAATATTGTCGTCATCAGCGTTTTCTGTAAATTTGTAAGCTCGTTTAATATTCTTTGGGTCAATACCTTTAAGTTTTGCCTTTTTATATTTTGGAACTTCTTTGTGTCTGACTGCCTTGTAGTTTTTTATAAATCCTTCTTCTCGTTTTTCTTCGTAGTTTTCCCTGTTGAAATTGTTCTTTTCTAACATTTTCTCCTTAGCATTTTCAATATTTTCTTTAATTTTTGTCAATTCTACTTTATTATTCTGAGCTTCGTTGGGAGTGCATTTGATTGTAGAGTGATATCTGTCATTGTAATTTCTAATTGCCTTTTGCAATAACTGTTTTATTGTCATGTTTGATGTTTCTGTTTTTAGTGTTACCCTAAGTTTTTCTGCTAATGAATTGTGTAGCCTTTCTATGTCAGAATTTCCCGTGTGACTATTTGGTTTAGTTAGATGTAATTCTATTCCTTCTTGCATTAATAATTCTTTAATTCTGATCGAATTGAATTCGTTGTCAGCTATGATTTTATCTGGTTTACCTAGCTTTGTGAAATGTTCTTCTAGTTGTTCTACTATGGTCATATGATTTCGATCATTTAGTGAATATGCTGCTGCGAACTTGGTAAATTTGTCTATAATTGTTAAGAAATGTGTATTTCTTACTACGTATGTGTCTATATGAATAATTTGATTCTTATCTGATGGAGTTTCGGTTTTTTTGAATTTGTTCTTTATAGGATTTCTGTCGTATTTTATTTCTTTGCACAAATCACATTGGTTAATAACCATTTGCACCAACTCTAGTAATTTTGGATAGTATATTCTACTTTTTAATTGGTTGTATGTTTCCTGAATGCCTGAATGCATACTTTCTTTTACATGATAAAACGATATTTGTTTGACTGCTTCTGTTTCGGATTCCATGTCTTGAGCTCTAAGCGTGCATTTAATGAATTCTATTTGTTTGTCATTTGAAAACATTTCTATTAATTTTTCCTGTACTATATTGTATTCGTGGTATGGTAGATACGAGTAAATTCCAATTCTTCCTTTGCCTATATATTTCTTAAAAATCTCTCCCATCGTTGGAAAATCATGTTTAGCTATAAAAATTATTCTTTTATCTTTTATGGTTTTAAATTCTTCTGTTTTACAATTTGTAATTATTATTTGTGTTCTGTATTTATTAACTATTTCCTCCTTTATGAAAAAATGATTGTGAAGGTTTTCTTCGGCTGAGTGTATTGTCGCGTTTGATGAATTATCTTCTTTGTCTTCTAAGTTTGCTATTATATTTATTTCTGACATGTTATCGTTTTTTTCGTCCAGTGTGTCATTTTTGTTCTGAATGAGGTAGTCATTGTCATCGAGTCTGCTCAAGAAATCGGCTACTCTATTTTCCTTTCCTTTTAAGTAGTCAATCTCGAATTGGTATTCTCCTAGTTTTAATAACCATCTTTGATGTCTAGGTGAGATATCTTTCCCTTTATGTTTCGAATGCAAAAATTTTATAGGCTGATGATCTGTCAGTATCTTAAATTTCCTTCCATACAAATACGGTCTAAGATAATTTACGCTCCAAAGGATTGCCAAAAATTCTTTATCGGTAGCTGAATAATTTCTTTCATGCGTATTAAGTGTTCTGGATGCAAAACAAATTGGGTGGCCCTCTTGTGATAGTACCGCACCTATTGCATAATTCGACGCATCAGTCGTAAGTGTAAATGTTTTCTCAAAATTGGGAAATCTAAGTATGGGGTGTGAACTGATCATATGTTTTAATTTTTCAAATGCTTCTACATAAGTTGGATCTTTTGGGTTTATTTTCACATTTTTCTTTAAATATTTTGTTATAGGTTGCGCTACTTTAGCATAATCCTTAATAAACTTTCTGTAATATCCAGTTATACCTAGGAAACTTTTTATCTGTTTTTCTGTCCGTGGTAGTACTAATTTTTCTATAATAGCTATTTTATTGGGATTGGGTTTAATTCCTTCCTTTGTCAAGATATGCCCAAGAAATTCTGTTTCCCTTTTCATAAAATTGCATTTATCTATCTGGATCTTTAGATTTTTCTCTTCCAAAATTTTGAAAATTTCTTTGATTGTCTGAATGTGTTCTTGCAGCGATGTGCTGAAAATTAGTATATCATCTAGATAAACGACACATTTTTTATTTATGTGGTCTCTCAAAATTTCGTTCATAAGTCTCTGGAATGTGGCTGGGGCATTTTTTAACCCGAATGGCATTCTTATAAACTCATATAAGCCGTGTGGCGTTACAAAGGCTGTTTTCTTTCTATCTTCCTCTTTAACTAAAATTTGATGGTAGCCTTTGGCTAAATCTAACGTTGTAAAATATTGAGCTCTTCCAAGTTTGTCCAAAATTGATTCGATATTTGGGATCGGAAACTTGTCATCTATCGTGATTTCGTTTAGCTTTCTATAGTCAATTACTATTCGATACTTCCTTTTACCTGAATTGTCGATTTTTTTCGGTATCACTATTAAGGGGCTTGAATATCTTGAATTACTTTTCCTTATTATACCCTGTTCTGTCATTTCTTTAATTTGTCTCCTTACTTCTTCTTCATGTTGAGGTGGATACCTGTATAGTTTTGAATTTAATTGTTCGTCCGTGGTTGTCCGTATCTCATGTTCTATTTCTGTCGTACTTGTCAATATGTCTCCCTCTTTAAAAAATAATTTACTAAACCTTTGTATAATAATTTCGATCTCTTTTCGTTCTTCTTTATTTAAATGATCAAGTTTTAAACTATCAAGGTTTCCTTCGTTACTTTCTAAAGTACACACTTCTTTGTATTGATAAGGGTTATTTATTATTGAATTTTCTTTATGATTTAGCGTTAAAGTTCTTTGTTCCAAATTAATGTAGGCGTTTAAAAAATTTAATAGGTCTATTCCTATAATGAAATTATATTTCCTTCCTGTAAGTGGGGCTACTTTCCATCGAACCCTCGCGTTACCTGGTAAATTGAATTCTTTTGGTGCTGTTGTATGAATTTCGTGTTCTATAACGTCTTTGCTATTTATGGTACTGTAAGGTATTGGTCTGTTTAATTTTCTTTTTGGGTAGTCATTGAGTTGGTCATTTACCAGACTTAAAGTGGCTCCTGTATCTATTAATGCAATATACTTTTCATTATTTATGTTTAATTCTATTAGTGGTAGGTATTCCGAGGCTGTTTCGTAAAAAAAACTGTATTATTCACCTCTGCCTGTTGGTCGCACTGATAGTTTGAGTCTTTGGTATCGTAAGAGTCGTCGTTTGTTCTATTTTGGTCGGTCTCTAAATTGTCAATTTCCATCGGTTCTACATTTCCTGGCCTGTACTGCCTAGTTTGGTGTGAACCTGATTGCTGATAGTTTGGTTGCTGCCTACTCTGTCCTGAGTTATTACTTCGTATATTTTGTTGAGCATTGTTTTGCCTAAATTGGCCTGAATTATTATTTCTGTAATTCTGTTGTAAGTTCCTTTGATTTTGATTCCCATCTTGATTTCTGGAATTTTGTTGATTTTGTTGATTAAAATTCCTATAATTTTGTTGTTGATTAATCTGATTATTTTGTTGGGTATTAAAATTTCTAAAATGTTGCTGTTGATTATTGTTTCCCTGATTTTTGTTGGAAGTCCCTGTCTCTAGATTGTTTCGGTTTGGCCTGCCTTTCCTATATTGGAATCTGATACAACTGTTTTCGTATCTACGTAGCATCATTATTTTTAAAATTTCTCCTAATCCTCTTTCTTCGTATATTTTGTCTAGTAATGTACCCTGAGTTATTTCTTTAGCTGCATTTACTAGCAAGCTTTCTACATTACTTAAATCTATAAAGTTGTCTTGCTTATGGTAGACTATTAATTCATCAGTTTTATATTTAATATTCTGTAACTCCACTGCTAGTTCGCTCACCGTGTTCACTCTCAGGTCACAGATTCTTCGGTAGATTTGGTGTGGTTCTGTATCTGGTCGGTAACGTAGTTTTAATGTCGCCTTGATTAGCTCCCAGTTGTCGGGTTCCGGTACGTTTATTACTACATCCTTCGCTTGTCCTTGAATCGTCCTGTAGAATATGGTCCTGGTGGCTTCTCGTTTCAGTTCCGGATCTTCGATGGATTGGAGCAGATACTCGACGCTGCTGAAGAAGGAGTTAATCGAGATGTCCCCTGTTCCTGTGAACGTCGCCAGATGGTTTATAGTTTTGAACAGCCTTCCTTGTTGGGCATAGTTGGCAGGGTTATTTTGTAGTTGTACATAGGCTTGTTGGAGTTGCTCCAACTGCCGTTCCCTGATTGCTAGTTGCTCCAGTAGGTCTGCCTGTGGCATACGGGGGTTTTCCTGTGCCATTCTTGCCTCGTCGTATTTATTCGCTCGGTTCCGTCTTCTTGATGCCGTCTTGGGTGTTGGGTCAATTTTAGCTTGACTTAGAAGTCCACTTATTTTTAGTTGAACTCCCTCGACGTCCTTGTCAACTTATTTTTAGTTGAGCTTCCTGGAATTCCTTGGCTTTAGAAGTCTACTTATTTTTAGTCAAACTCCTTCTAAGTCCTTGTCAACTGATTTTTAGTTGATCTTCCTGGGATTCCTTGGCAACTTATTTGTAGTTGCACTTTGTGAGTTATTTCACTGCACTGGTTTTTGTCGGCCGTTTGTAAGTTTAAAAAATTTTTTTATTTTCCGTTTCTCCGTTTGTTTAAATTTATTTATTTATTCGGTTCGATCACTGGATCCTTTTTAATAAAAAAAGAATCCTACCGGCTGCGCCAATTTTGTACTGCGGGACGGGTTTTAATAAAAAATTAAATACGAACACGACGTTTAGTTTTTCAGTGGCGAATTATAACTGATTTGTCTTTATTCAAAAAGTCGTATTTAAAGGGTTTTACATTTGGGTTACAATTGGTTGGTGTTGGTGTACTTAACTTGAATTATGATTTAGCTTATTCTATATGATTGCGAAACATGCTGATTAGACTTATTCTATCTGCGGTGGTTTCGTTATGAACCCGGAAGCATATAGGAGTTTAATAACTCATGTCGCGAAATTGTTTACTAAAGGGCAATGAAATTAGGTCACGGTTGCGAAACCGGATGCTTACAAGAGTTTATTAACTCGTGTCGCGAAATTGCTTACTTTACATTTATAGAGTCCAATAACTCTTGAACTGTCTGGCTAATTGGTTTTGTTTGTGTATTATGGACTGGGAATGAAGTGGATCTGTACATAACTCGTGCAGTGTTCCCCCCGTATTCCAACTGGTCCAACCGGCTCAATTAGAACCGGGCACTTGACATCCTCGCACTTGGGCAATTTCCCACAATTTTTGGGATTTTTTTTTACACTTACACTGGGCTCTGGCCTCGTGGGCAATGCAGAGAATGCCAAGAAAAACCGCCGCAAACACTTTCATTTTTGCAGATATTTTTGCGTTTTCTTAATAAGTATTTTATTCGTATTTATTCACTCGCGAGTTCAATGGTTTCCAGCGGACTGTGCGATACCTGGAGTTGAGCCGAGCTTTTTATAGCCGCCAGCTTGGGACTTCTCTCACTCTCGAGAACCGATCTCTCGGATCGGGTTTATCAACGGAGCGCCACTGTTCTCCACTCTGCGGTTAGACTGTTTACCGGTGGATCACTAGAGTATCTGAAAGATGCGTGTCACTGGGTGACACCGAAGGCTTTTCTAACCAAAAATTATGCTACGAAAAACATAGAAATATATATGTTATTAAAGAGTGCAATGAACTTAGGATGTCCAAGATCTTCAATGACGTTGGTTAGGAATTTCAGAGGGTGTCATATATATTTGTCAATTATGAAATGGAATTTGACCAGAGATCATGTTGATATAGGTGAGTCAATATGGATTTTATTACAGATAAACCTGATCTATATGATAAACCTGATCTATATGAGCTTGATAATAAAAAAGAACTTCTTAAGGGTCTTGGGGACTTAATCATTATAAATATATATTTATATACAAATTAACAATCTCATTTTCTAGGCAATAAATATTATTCACATGGAATTGCAATATCCGTCCTATTTTCCAACTAGGAACTAGACCAATTCAAAGCTTACTCATCCAACTGGCTTGCCATAAATGTTCTTAATGAGCACGACTTAGTTATGTCGTCACTAATTCAGGGGTAGTAACAATTACCAGGCACTTGACATTGCTAAACTCAAAAGGGGTTTGCCCATATTTTGCGATGCATCATCTGCAAGAATCCTGTGCACACGCAAATCAGATTTGTTAACTTTATAAAATTATATATAGTATATAATGCAAAAATCAAGTGGCAGAACGAACTCTGTCATTCCCCGGGACGCTGCCGTTGTGTGATTTACCAGCTAACGAGGCTCAGTTCAGTTCAGTCCGGGTGTCATCTATGTAAACCAGTTTCTAATGCGTTCTGGAAAATATTTCCATACCTTGTAAATGAGCTTGGATTTCGGTTATTTCCATACATATCTGTTAGCTACCATCTTTGCGGTATTAAAGAGTCAGTGGGCGCCTCCGGAAATATCCACGGGATACTATTTACAATTCGGACATTTGATACTTTTATCCATTTGATTTCAAAGTCTGGCCTGGCAGGGCAAACCCTTTAATTTCCTGGCATTTCGAGGGATCAACATGTTACCGCAAAAGGGGTAAAATGGTTAAAGTTGAAAGGCAGCACGCGGAAAATGTCAGCACCAGATAAACGGGGTCTTTGTGTCAGGGGAAAATGGGAAAAAGAGACCCCGGGTCGCGGAGTCGCGGCTTTTATCCCATTCCGCTATGTCCAATTAGGCGTGGAATATGTTTCTTTAAAAAAGAGGGAGAAAACGACGCAGCATCCAGCTGCTAAATGAGAAAAAAAGGGAAAAGGGTAATCACACCCCCTCTGTGACAGCGGTGGGATTCGAACCCACGCCCTTTCGGACTGGTGCCTAAAACCAGCGCCTTAGACCGCTCGGCCACGCTGCCGTCTGGCGCCATCGAGACAGAAGGTTCCTAACGACTGCGACAACAACAAAATTGAATAATATTCTAAAATCGGTACGATTCTATTTTTAGGCGATAACAAGTAGTACGTGTGTAATTACCACACTCATGCCAGTCCCATTTTCCCAACAAAGAACACAGCATTTAATCTTTGGGAAGGCGTAGAAGGTTTGTTAAATCTTTTGTGTGCTCATAAATGCTTAAACTTAAGACAGATTAGTTGATTTTTTAACAAAATTAAGAACATAATTAAGAACATAAGAACTTACAGTTTAACAAATGAAGAAAAATAAAATAAATAGCACATGACATGTGTTATTATAACGATTGTCTGTATAAAATGAGAGCTTTAGCAAAAAAATATATAAATATATTATTTAAGATCGCAGTAATAAAGTATAATATTTTCAGACTTGTGTAATTTATCAAAATGTCAATTTAATTTGGTACACGAACCACATTCTTTATTTATTAAAATGTGTTTATTTATTTCGGAGTTACTAGCACTTTTTTAATATAAACAAATTGTAATATAAATAATAAAATATTTCGTAACAATTTTGATTTCATTACTCATATAAATTATACCTTATATAACAAGTAATATGTACATATTTATATATAAGAAAATATTCTTAACCAACTCTGATTTCAATTCAAATCCCTAAAACTATATGTAACATTAGCGGATCGTAAAAAAATAAATTTATAAAATAATATTTAATACCATTTTTTATTAATTAGAACAACAAAAAAATCTTGATTTAATTAATTAATTAATTTTTTAAAAGATATAAAGAATACAGACTTCAATTTGAATTCCAGAAATTATAAAGAAATTTTTGTTTTTATGAACAACAACGAATATATTTATAAAAAAAATATAAAAACTTAATTTAATTGCCAAAAAATAATCAACATTGACAGCGGTGGGATTCGAACCCACGCCCTTTCGGACTGGTGCCTAAAACCAGCGCCTTAGACCGCTCGGCCACGCTGCCTCATGGCAGTTTGTGTCAAATGCGCACTTTGAAGGCAGCTCACCACGAGTCATAGGGTGGGCGTTTGCTTGGCATAATTTTGGGGTGGTTTTCAGGAGCAGTATTCCCGTGGCTCAAACGTAAACTGTAGTAGAAAAAGTAGAAAATAGTAGTCAGCTAAATACTGTAGTCTTTGCTTGGGCGCAATGTTGTAAACTTAATTTATTTATTTTAATTTCACTTTTAGTTAAAATAATTCTTAATAGGAAACAAACAATATAAGGAAGTGCATTTTTTCGCTGACTAAAATATTATTTTAGAAATTGCGTAGCTGGCAGTAGTAAAATTCGCAAAAAAAAAGGCTGTAACAATAGTACTTTACGAGCGGCAGGGCCATCGAAGCGATTCTAATTCATTGACAAACACATTTTGATTTTGCGATAATGAGTATTGGGGGGGTTGCTTCCACAACGATTTGGGACACCTTTTGACAGGCAAACTTCCCCTGTCCCTTGGCATTTGACCCCTCTTCTTGAGGTCGCAGCCCGCACTTTTGTCGGTTTACGATTTTAGCATTTCGCAAACGACGTAAAAAACGATATTTGTATACAGAACGGTAGCAGAAGCTACAGATTTTATGGCATTTTTATGTGGTCATAGTTTCGCTTTCGCTTTGGCCTTTTTACGAGCGTTTTATAACTTGTTTACATTAGGCGAAATGTCACGTAACGGAAGTGCTGGGAACCATTTTATGCAAAAATCTATCAAATTGCTGGCGGGCTGCATAAAAAACGCCATAAAGCGATGACTTGATTCAGAATCGAAGCAAATATGGTAAAGTTATGTGATTCTAAGATTCAAGCGATGCAAGGAAATGATTCTACGGAGCGAAACTGTGAAGAATTGGCGATTAAGTGGATTAGATTGCAACCTATAGCAAGTCATTTTCAACTTTAGTTACTTTAAATCAGCAGAACAATGACAGCCTCTTGGATAGCAAATATTTTCCTGGTACTCATCTTTGTTCCACAATTTGAGGGTCAAGGAGTTTTTAATGAAAACTATGTAGAAGAAAATATGAGAATTAGCGAACGGAATGCTGAGAAACTCGAGGATCAATTTGTGAGCAAAACATTTTTAAAAAAATATTTGAACGGAACTAATTAACCTGTACTCTCTTCCATCTTAGGTGTCTTTAACGGGCGAAGATCAGAGCAACGAGCAAGATATGGTGTTTAAACCAAACTATGTTCACCACTATGGAGGTCGGAGATATCAGAAACAAATGTTTAAACCAAACTATGACCCCCACCAGAATACTTTAACGGGCGGAGGTCAGAGATATCGAAGAAAAAAAGAGTTTAAACCAAACTATAACTCCCACCAGAATATTTTAACAGGCGGAGGTCAGAGAAATCAGAAAAGAAAAGTGTTTGACCACTACCAGGATACTTTAACGGGCGTAGGTCACAGCAACCAGAACAAAATGCCGTTTAAACAAAACTATGGCCCTCACAATGAATATTCTGACAACCAAGAAAAACCATTAACCTGGAGGAAAAAGGGAAAAAACTATTTCATCAATTTTAATTTTAACGGTAACGAAAATCGCAGAAAATCCTTGAATAAAAATTTAAGATATCAGCCCTATAAAGAGTCAAACCCATATAAAGATTATTCACGCTAAGGCAAATTTATCTAGATATTGTTTTGTTTACCTCCAATACCAAGCCAATATGTTAACTCACAGGTAATAAAAATAACACTTTTTGATTATTCATTCAATAAACAAATAAATAAACCCAAAATAAAGCAAAGAATGATAAGAAAAAGTGGTCACAACCTATTATAAAGTGGGGAACATAATTTGTTATCAGTCATAAACAGATTTAAATGAATACTATAATAATTAAATCAAGTGGAATGTTTAGGTAAATATTGGTAATTGAACTTGAATTTTTTGAAGGGCAAACTAATTATAAAAATAATTATCATGTAAGCAAAATAAAGCCAATGACAGGTATTTGATCAAATACCAGACACTTTTAAGATAGCAAGCCAGACGCACGAAATGAGACATTCTTGTTTTTATCTTTTATTTTTTGCGTACTTTCCTTCCGACTTGTTAACAATATTTAAGAGTTTAGAATGGATCGATCACTAAGTGGGTCTTAGATAAGAACTTTGAACCTTAGATAAAAATGAAAGTGCTATCTAGTGGGTATATAAGGCATGCAAAACTCGATAAATTCTTTAGTTCGATATTCAAACATGAAATTAATAGTAGTCAGTCTGTTGTTGGCGATTGCCTTGCTAGGACAAACCAGTGCCAAAAGCGTACTTAACAGCCTTGTAAGAGAATTATAAGGGATCTTCATATGAATATGATATAATTATCCCACCTTAGGCCAACGAAATTGGTCAGGATGCCTCCGAGTTTGGGCATGAACTAGGGGATGAGGGCACTCTATTTGGACACGAGGCCTCCAACAGCGCCATCAATTTAGGTCATGAACTTTCCCAGGAAGCGGTAGGTTAAGGAATATATTTTAAGACATTTTTTAGTCACCAATTATTTATTTTTTAATAGGAAGAGGCAGCCAGCAAGGAAGTCAGTTCAGAGCTAACCAAATTTGGACAGGAAGCCTCCAATAGTGCCATCAACTTTGGACATGAACTCTCTCAGGAAGCGGTAAGTCTTTTTAAATAATTTATTTATTAATATTGTCAAAACAATATAAATCAACTTTTATTTTTAGGAAAGCGCACTGAGTCAGGAAATTAGCTCTACGAAAAAACAAAACTCTGTAAGTTAGGTAAATTTAAATTATTTCACTCATTCATTTCTTCAATATTCTCTTGATTTCAGTCTTCCTTTGCTCTGCTTACGGTTAGTCAAACTATTTAAACATTTAATAATTATCAAACTAATTTTAATTACGTATTTCAGAAATCCACGACTGACAAAACTGTTACCAAGGCCACAACAGGTACTGAGGCTACCTGTGCTTGTGTCTGCAGCGATGGCAGTGCATCTCAAGTTTCCGGAAATGTTGTCAAGGCAGCTGATAAGATTGCCAGTTCCGCAGCCAATGCTGCCAGTAGCGTCGCAGGATCAGCAGCCAGTGCAGCTCATGATGTGGCCAGTGCTGCTGGAAATGTTGCTAGTTCCGCGGCCAATGCTGCCAGTAGCGTCGCAGGATCAGCAGCCAGTGCAGCTCACGATGTAGCCAGTGCTGCTGGAAATGTTGCTAGTTCCGCTGCAAATGCTGCCGGAAATGTTGCTAGTTCAGCTGCCAATGCTGCCAGTAACGTAGCAGGATCTGCTGCCAACGCTGCTCACAATGTAGCCAGTGCTGCTGGAAATGTTGCTAGTTCCGTAGCAGGATCTGCTGCCAATGCCGCTCATGATGTGGCCAGTGCTGCCGGTAATGTTGCTAGTTCCGCTGCAAATGCTGCCGGAAATGTTGCTAGTTCAGCTGCCAATGCTGCCAGTAACGTAGCAGGATCTGCTGCCAACGCTGCTCACAATGTAGCCAGTGCTGCTGGAAATGTTGCCAGTTCCGTGGCAGGATCAGCTGCTAATGCTGCTAGTTCCGCTGCAAATGCTGCCGGAAATGTTGCTAGTTCAGCTGCCTATGCTGCCAGTAACGTAGCAGGATCTGCTGCCAACGCTGCTCACAATGTAGCCAGTGCTGCTGGAAATGTTGCTAGTTCCGTAGCAGGATCTGCTGCCAATGCCGCTCATGATGTGGCCAGTGCTGCTGGAAATGTTGCTAGTTCCGCTGCAAATGCTGCCGGAAATGTTGCTAGTTCAGCTGCCAATGCTGCCAGTAACGTAGCAGGATCTGCTGCCAACGCTGCTCACAATGTAGCCAGTGCTGCTGGAAATGTTGCTAGTTCCGTAGCAGGATCTGCTGCCAATGCCGCTCATGATGTGGCCAGTGCTGCCGGTAATGTTGCTAGTTCCGCTGCAAATGCTGCCAGTAATGTTGCTAGTTCCGCTGCCAATGTTGCTAGCAACGTAGCAGGATCTGCTGCCAACGCTGCCGGTAATGTTGCAAATGATGCGGGCCATGTTGCTGGAGATATAGGCAGTGCTCTCGGCAATATCCTTGGAGGCGTTGCCAATGCTGGTGGAGATATCGCCGGATCTGCTGCCAATGCTGCTGGTAATATTGCTGGAAATGCCGCAAATGCTGCTGGTGATGTCGCCAATGCCGCTGGCAATATTGCTGGCGATGCTGCTAATGCTGCCCAAAACGTGGTCCACTCAATTACCAACTTGCTTTAGAGTGAACCCGAAAAGGAGAGCCATTTATTAATCACTTTATAAATTATTTAATCAAATAAAAAGCGAGCAAATTAACGAGCAAATCTTCAAAAGCGAATTGTTTAAACTACCGAACATTTGACAGAATTTATTTATGGTTGCCCTAGATAAGAACCCTCTTGAGGCTTGAGATAAGGTGAGAATTACCCAAACTTAAAGTAACTGATCAATCAGAAACAGTAAACGCCGCCAATCAATTTGGAATTATTAAGTACTCAAGTCTGATTTGTTTTTATTGGCTGCGTCAAAGAACCACTGATATCAAAAACTCCCACATAGTCTTAGAGATAAGGTTGGGCTATAAATTGCAGCTGTGTCAACCCAAATGATTCAGTTGTTGTTATTGGCAGCACGAAAAGTAACCAAAATGCAGTCCTTAAAAGTCTTAGCCATTTTCGTAATCGTCCTGGTGAGCCAACAGGCCAGAGCGAGTCCTCTCATTGATCAGTCGGAGGTAAATATTTAAAAATATATTTTTTATATGTTATTTTCTTAAATGTTATATTTTTATATGTACAGAATGACTATGTCCAACCTGAAGCCAGAAATCTGTTGGGCGATGTCCTGGGTGGAGTTGGCACTGGGCTGGGAGATTTAGCAGTAAGTCATATAATTGTATTTATTTTTTATTAGTTTATATATTTATGTATATATCTTATATTATAATAAATATTAATATATATTATATTACATATTCCTTGCAGAATGCTATTACCAGTCTGAGTGTTCAAAAGAAGCCCGTTTCGGAGTCTAAAACTATTTCTGTAAGTTATAAATTTAAAGATTAAAAATACTCAAAGACTTTCTTAATAGTAGAAACCCCTAAAAATTTTAAGATAAAACACAAATTTTAACAGCAACAGAATATTTTAAATATTTCAAAAGCATAGTGGTCTGTTTATTATATATTTTATAAGCCTATAGATAACGTACAAACCACATATTCCTGGAAACAGCAAATTTGCCTGATCAATCAGTATCAAAAAGTCCAGCACTTCGATTTGGAATCATTAATCACTCAAGTCAACTACAAAATTATATAGTAATATTGTAGCTCCCACATAACCTTAGAGATAATGTTTGGCCCCTATAAATTCAGCGAAGGCAACCGAAAAAATTCAGTATTTTATTGTTAGAAACAAAGGAAAGAACATGGTGTCTATTAAAATTTTCACAATTTTCGCTATCCTTCTGGTGGCCCAACAGATCTCAGCTGCTTCCCTGGGCGAGTTAATGGGCAATGTGACCGATGTTGCTGTGGCTGGACAAAAGTTCCTGCTTCAACTGGAGGTTGCTGTTGGTGCCTCAAAGACGGAATCTATTTCTACAAATACCACTGCGGATATACTCAGCGATTTGGGTAATGCCTTGGTGGACTTGGCTGTAAGTAAAGAGTAGGATTTATTATTTTTTGTAATTTATTATATATTTATAAACTGTTTTCGTAGACCTCTATTACCACTGCGGAAAGTAATGTACAGTTTGGTTCTTCTAATGTTCTTGGCGATGTCTTGAATGGCATCGGAAATGGACTTCAGGCGCTGGGTGTAAGTCTTTATTTTTCAAAGAGAAATAATATATTTTGTAAAAGTTTTTACAGATTATAATAGTACTTTCTAATCATGTCATGTTCTAATTTAATTTAAAATCCTTATAGAATTCCATTGCCAATGTGGGAACCCAAATGAAGGCCGTTGAACAAATGTAATTTCTCTGTCTTTCTGTAAGTTTAAATACTAAATAAAATAATATTACAAAAAAAATAACAATTACCTTATAATTTTCTTAGGCTTTATACAAAGAAGTTGAATGCTACCCTGGGCTGGATCTGGCTGTTAGTGGCTCCCCAAAACTGCTGCTGATCTGATAAATAAAGCTTAAGATTCCCCCCTAAACAACTTTCAAGCAGTTCAATTAACAAATAAATATTCAATCGCTTAAAAAACTTAACTGAGTGGGCTTCCTTTGTGTTCCAATTTGGGCACAGAGTTCATCAACAAGTTGGGCATCAATTAGTTGGGTTTGTTTTGGGTTGTTTTGAAATTTAAGAACCATAGGCAAGGTCGAGTTCCAGTTCAAAAATGCGTGCATCTGCTCAAAGACCGAGATCTTATATATCCAGGGATGGATGGATGGAATGGAAAAGGGGTCAAATGATACGAAATCGGAACACGTGATTGCCAACAACATTAGGGGATCAAGTTACCCAAAAAAATTTACAAATAAAAGCCAGCAGGAGAAGTAGGAAGCGCCATACACACACATGGTGGCTTTTGTATAATTTTTATTATGACAAGTAGGTTGTTGTTTTGTTCCCCCGGTCCTCTGGAATTAGGTCATCCGGCGGGGAGTGAGTAAAGGTATATGGGGGAGCCCCTACTCCGGAAGACAAGCATTGTATCCAGCACCCTCCATTAAGTTGCTTTATCGAGCGGGAAATTTCAATTCTTCCTCCCGCCAACGCCTCCGTTTTCAAAAAGATCTTTGTGGTCACCCTCACGACTCACGGCTTGCACGACGCCAGAGAGACCTGTAATTATGAAAATTAACAAACATTTTGGTAATTAATTTCGGCCAACCAAAGGGTTGCCTCCCAACGCCGTGGCACCCATAATCCCGCATCAATTAAAATGCACAGTCCGTAATCCCCACCCACAAAACATGACTGCCTGACCAACTGAGGTGCGTGCGACCCGGCCACTAGTTGAATAAATATTAAAATAGATGAATATTCGGGTCGGAAAATAACCTAGAAAGGGGAGCTTTGAATACCCTTCTGACTAAATATAAAAAATAAAATATTGTAACTACATCTTATTGTAAATATCTATAAATTATTAAATAAAATATATATTTTATGGTTAATATATCTAAAACTTTTAAGATTTTAGTTTCAACAATGTAAATACTAACCCTTAAAAATGTTCTAGAATCACTTTAGCCACTTTCTCTGCTTATTTTTTATATATAAACTTTAACTTAATTCTTTAACTTTTATTTACATTAAAATATTATTCAATTTCAGTGTAACTTTATACCCAACCATGTCTGCCTAATTATAGTCTCCATTAAAACACCCCCCAAATGAAAAGGGTATAAATATGATAATAGAAATCGCTTTAATAATTTGTGACACTCTTTGTCAGTCAAGTTTGGCCGCCAGTGTTTCGGCCATTAATTGGCGGTTTGACAGCTGGAAGACCTCAAAGAAATGTATATAATACACAAATACTAAAGTAAAGTCTTGTTAAAAGGTCTACACAAATTATTCTAGTCAATTTTCTACTATTTTCTACTGATAAAAAATATTAAAAAATTTTAAATTGTACTTAAATAAAAAATTTAAAATATCAACTATTTAAATTCACCTGATTTGGTACTATTTTTCTCCCGACATCTGTACCTATGCCAAACATGCACTTAGCTCAGTTGGGACAAAGGGGCCAACTCCATCCGGGGGGGGGAGTGTGGTAGTAAAAAAAACGCTCTTTGCCAACAGGACAGCGAAAATGTGCAAATCGTGCTGGCTCCGCCGACCGGTTTCGGCCAGTTTCTATGTTAGTGGTCAAGGTCTAAGGAGCATCAGACAGTCGGACAGCCGGAGGAGCGGCCGGGGGGGTAATGCAGCCAAAGCGGAATAAACAATAACAGCAGGCAGGCAGGCAGCAGCAGCAGCAGCAGCAGCAAAGAAGAGCTGCAAAAAGCCAAGCGAATATAAATGGGCAACAACAATAAAAACCACAACGAGCGGAAAACAGAACCAAAAGGAGTCACGAGAATTGCATAAACAATGTATGTACAAAGTCTGTCAGAGTGTATGTACAAATATATACACATAAATCGAGTTATATATAAAGCAAAGTCCCAAGTGGAGCTACTAGGGTGCCTCAAGACGACATTGAAAATGAAACAAAGATTATGAAGAATTAGTAATATATAATATACATACGTTTATTGTTTAAAAGTTGTTGGGAAAATATTAAAATTAAATTATATTTTGTAAATATATATAATATAGATTTTAATGTATTTTTTATTATGTATTTTTAGGATGTTGCCGAGCCCCTAACAGCTTTTTATTCTTATATAAAAACAACATATATTTTCTTTATAACTAACTGAATTTTCATATTATTATATTTAAGATATATAAATAAATTATAAAGCGATATGTTGTCTAAAATTATATTATTTTGAAGAAGAAATACAATTTTTACTTACATTTATTAACCATTTTATTTGTATTTATTATAACTAAAATGTATAAAATATTTCAAACTTCAAAAGTAAATTTTTCTTGCCAAAAATTACCTTTTTATATGATAAGTTCTTCATGTAGGAAGCTATAACGTATGAAAGATCTAATATTTTAAACATTTTTGTATATTATCTATCTATTTTTTATATATTCATTTAATATTTTTAATCTATATTTCTATATTTATGTATCTTAAGCTTTTTCAAAAGGCATTTTCTGAATTTTCAATTTTTGTAATATTTTCTAAGCAAATCCTTTTAAAAAATAAATAAAATAATTTAAAATATTCAACTCCCACAGGACGAATCACCCTGCTTTGCCTCGCAAGGGGCACGCAGCACATGCATCATGCAACATGCAACAGCGGCGTGATTCCAACGCAGCAATAATAAAAAAAAAAGCTGCATGTGCACCATCTAAACAGGCATATGTGCATCGTTAAATAAAAAATAAAACTGCATATATCGGAGGGGAACTGCAATGGTGTTTGTGTGTCAAAAAGGGTTGCCAAACCACTCTTCGAAGTACATAATAAATACATACATCATACACACTGCACACTCGCAGGACAGGAGAAATCCCTATGGCAAACATATATACATACATTTTCTTCCAGCCGCAAAACTGGTTTTCGATTACGTCGTCGTATCACTCACCCCCCTTCGTTTGGGTTTTCAGCCAGTGAAGCCAAAGGTTGTCTTATCGATTCTCAAAGCACAGGCACTTGACCAAAAGCAAAAGCAAAACCAAATCCCGATCCCTATGCCAGATCCTCCAGGGAGATTCGAGTCGGTTTTGGGACAAAACTATCGATGCGCGTCCACGTCTCCGATTTCTAACTGCAGCATTAATCGTCACCATTTCAAACTGTCAGCCGTCACTCAAGATAAAAACTTTTTGGGGGGCCTTTGTCTATAATTTGCGACACTTCACACGCACACACATCAAAGCAACAGCTTCATTAAAATTAATTAATGCTTAGGCACACCTTAGGTACACAATGAAAAAGGAATTGTTTTAAAACTAACATTAAGAAAAAATGTCTATGTTAAATTTTAAAAACGCTTTTTAGATTTTGGTTTAATGTTTCTCATAGAATTGTTAAAAAATAATTTATATAAAAAAAAAATTAATTAAAAATATACAGAATTTTAATAGAAAACTATTTTTGGTTTTTTATATTTTTAGAATTTTTTTAAAATTTTGTTTATAATAAATCAACACAGAGTAAACCTAAATAAAGGTTAAAGAATAATATTTATGAATTTTTTAAGAAAAAAAAATATTATTTCAATAATCAAACAAATTTATTAAACAATTTTCCTTGTGTACCAAACACATAGAAACACCTCTAGGACCCCAAAGACCCAAAAAACTGTGTTGGGGGATCGACATCATTAGGGTCATATCAGTTTACAGTGTTTGTACCTCGTCGGGGCAGCCGAAAAAAATGTGCACAAATTAAATTAAATGAAGTGAGTGTGAAAATGCTGCAGGTGGAAAGAGGGGAGGGGCTATGGCTCACAGTGCAAACGTTAAAACACCGAAATAACCCACCGGCGGTCAAAAGGAAACACGCTCAAGTGACTTCCAACTTGCCACCAAAAAAAAAACCCCCCTCCATTCGGTCACCTGTACCCTCTCGTGTCTACGCCTGTTGATGTTAAATCAAGATAAGCAAATTGTTGCCGAAAAATAGAGGCACAAAGGAAGCGATTTGGACGTTTTAATGATGATAGAGCATGACACAGAATAAATGAAAATGAAGTGTGGAAAAAAAAAAATTCATTTCAATTGTGGACTCAACAGAACTCGCCAGAAAATGTTGCAAAGAGAGTGCTGCTGCTCTTGATTAATGGATTCGAAAGGATTATTCGTATACTCATCAGAGAAAGATCCAATGACAGGCAGAAATACGCTTAAGCCGAGTTATTGTAAGCCACACCAAATATATTTTAATTATACACAAATTTGTATATATTTTTTAAATGTTCACAATATTAACTTGGCTAATTATGGAGAATTAAAGGGAAAGCTTTCGCAACCTCAGGTTCCGGTCCCTCAGGAACAGCTCCATTAGTTGGCTCGCTCTCTTCGACCGAAATAAAAAAAATCGGCGATCTCTCCATCTGGACACTTGATTTCCTCTTCATTTCCTTCCGGATCCTCAACGTATGAATGCTGTATGACTTTTCGGAAAATCCAGCCACTAAGCCGTACCACATTGGTGTAGACATCGAAAGTCGAGTTGTCTCCGCTGTTGCGGTGCCAGTTAATAATGCCCACCTGCTGGAACCTCGAGGGTTCGCTGGCCAAAGGACATACGAGTGGATAGCCACTTTCCCAGATTCCGATTCTACCGCCGGCACACAACAGGCTGTCATCGAGCGGAAAGGAGAAGACAAGCCATCGTCGCAGCTCCTGCTCACAGGTCGCGGTCTGCACCACCGGCAGCGGCAATGTCTTCTTGTAGGAACTTTCGGCAAAGCAGCTAGAGAGGTCCAAGATCCTCATTGAAGATCTTGCCGCCAGATTGATGGGAGCAATTTTGTTGTTAAATTCAATGGATTTTTTAAGGATCAATAAGCCCAGGTTGTTGACCCCCGTAGTCACATTAAAGTTGGGATGTCGCACAACCGACCTGACTCTCACTTCCATCAACGAAGGACTATTTTCAATGCGCACTACGAGCTCGCTGGCATTACGGTATGCAATAACTACCCAGGAAGTGAGCACCACAAACTTGGAGATCAGGGATCCGCCGCCTATTGATGAACCGCAACTTTCTTTCACAGACACCAGCCAAGGAGACTTGGAAGTCCTGTCATCCGGGACGATGCCAAAATCCCCGGCCTGGACACAGGAGGAGGCCAGGACCAGACACAGAATCAAAACTAATCCCCGAAACTGTAACATTTTAAACGCTTAGAAAAAGACTGGAACGACTGTGAATAACTCACAGTATTTATAGCAAGACTCATTAACGAAATATTTGAATTGATTAGACAAATTTATATATTTATTTTGTCATTTCCAAAGAACTTGACTTTTATTGATTTTTTTTAAAGCCATCTACCAAGAAATAAGCTTTGCTTGATTATTTATTTAATAGTTTTCTTTACAGAAATTATATAAATATATTTATATAAATATGTATTGTAATAATTATAATAAAAATAACCACTAAAATATATATACACACATTGAGTTAATAGGAAACATAAAAAACAAAACTGGACTTTTCTAAATAGCAAAAGAAAAAAGAATATATATATAGTCAAATATTCATTCCCGAATTTAACGTATTTAAAAAAATATATTTTCAAATCGTTTTCTCTCGGAAAGATCATAAAATTAAGTAAATTGGATCCACGTCCTCTACACATGTATTCACACATTTGGAATGTACAGACACATATTAAACTTCAGGCAGCTCCTGATGTTTCTCATAAACAAAAGTTTCGATAATTATTATAATTTTGTTTTATGCTCCGTTTGCTTGCACTTCTCGTCTCCCCTTCCTGGCGGTTTTGGTCGTCTGCCTGTCAAATTGTCGTTGTCATAAAAAAATATGACCAAAAATGTACAAAATATGAGTAAATGTCAAGTGTGTGCAAATGGTGGAATACATATATATAATATGTATATAAATTTACACTGAAAACTTAAATTTTTAAAAATATTTTAAAGACAGATATTTAAATAACCTTGCAACAAATTCACCTTTTCTTATAAAAATTTATGATATGATATGATATTTAGTTACTTAGCTAAAAACCTTTACATTACAATTTTCAAATATTAAAAAATATCGACATAATCGAAAAAAAAAATTGCAGAATAATACATAATATATTTTTTTTACCGATAATATTTCAAACATCGTCCAAACTAAATTATATATATTCTTTTTATATTCAATTCCTAAAATTTTTGTTGAAACTAAGTCTAAGCTTATCGTTGGTACAGTTTAACAAAACAAAATTCAATATCGATTTATCGCACAAATATCGCATAATGTCGATTTATTTATCGCCGCAATAATCGATGCAGGATATATATTTTGGCATCTCTACTCTAATTTAATTTTACCATTATTTTATTTTTAGAGGCAAAAAATACTTTAGTTAAAATACATTTTTCTTATTTCAGTGCAGATATACAAAGGCGCATTTTTACTATGTTTTGAATGCACCTTTTCTTGTTTTTTCTTATAATTTTTTTTTGTGGTCGCTCAACCTGTTTCACCTGGGCAAGCTTCCCCCGAAAACCCCCGAAAAAACAGTGGGCATGGTTCATTATCATCATGGTTATTATAATTATAATTTGGTGTCTGCTTTTTTGGGGTTTCCTTTTGGCTTTCGGACCTTTAGCCAAGAACAAGGGCAAGTGCAGTTGGTACTGGATAAAACTGATTTAATTTATCAAATTTTTTTTTCATTTTCTTTTTGGGGAGACACAGCTTCCTGTTCTCCTTTTTGTTTCACTCTTTTGGGACCCCTTCTAAGCAGCGATTCTTAATGGGCAGCCAGGCGTCTCAAGGTCTTCTCTGTCAACTGATAAAGAGATAATGTTGCACAAAAAAACGCAGAGAAGAGAACATAAGAAGAAGATTCGCAAAAAGTGAAGTAGCAACTGTCTGACTGCCACACACACACACACACTCGGTAACAGAGAGCCATGATATCATCGAAGAAACAGAAACAGAAAGCAGCGAAGAAGACTGAAAAAAGCAGGCAAACCGAAAGAAACCGCAGAAGCAGATATTCGCGAGAAAGAGGGGGTGAAGGGGTCAATAAAGGGGGAGTACACGAAGAAAAAATATCAATAATAAATAAAATATATATTTTTTAAATATCTATTACAATAGACACAAATATAACAAAACAAGAATGGTTTTTTGCGGTTAAGGAGGATACCAACCCTATATATCGAAATATAAATATTGTTCTGTTATCGAAAATATATCGATATATAGATATCAAGTCATCCCTAAATGTCACTTAATAAAAAAAGTATATATTTAAGGAAAATATAATGAAATATTTAAGGTTACAGAAGTGCCTTAAAAATCTGTAGACTAATACTTCCAAGTTCCAAAATATATATTTGAACAATTTAAGGATTTTCTTATCTGATACTACATATATTGTTTTTCCAACTGTACATACCCCAACTGACAATCGAAAGAGACGGCTAAAGACTCATTTCTATCCCCACTCCTCGCAAAAACACACATAAACACACACAACCACATCGAGGCAAGTTCAAGTTTGAGAGGCAGGATAGGATCCCATTCAAGGCCCCAAACCAGCAGACAGCCGGAGCAGAACAATGGGCGACGTACTGAAAGGGGTACTGAAAAAAATAAAAATAAAAAATTGCAAACAAGTTTCGCTTTTATTTAGTGCCCAACAACAGCGCCAACTTTGCAGATTCCCCCGTCACACTGGCGCAGAATTCCACTCCACATACTGTATAGCCTTATATAGCAAGGCAACCGGGCTATGTACCCAACATTGTACACCGATCTCTGGCGATCCAACCGATGCGAACGAATGTTCCAGCTTTACGTGCCACAGCATAAAAATGGAACAGGCAGCTGAACGCGAGGATACAGATGTGGTTGGACTAGTAGGAACATTAAAAAAAAATTAAAAACTATATATAAATTACTAATAGATCGATTTATGGTTAGATTTATAGATCAATAAATCGGTGCAGCAAGTACAGATGGTCAGAAAGTTTGTATATATCGAATTTTATCGATAATAATAGCATAAGACAATTTTTACTGTAATTTTAGTATCTAAACACACATTTAATTTGAAACACATTTATTTATTTGCATATTTATACCCTTGTTATTAATAAATTCTGTAATATTATTTATTTAAATCGATATAAGTTTCTGTATTTTAATATATCGAAACATGTGCGATAAATCGATACTATGTATGTTTGATATGTATAACTTAATTTATGTATTAATCTTAAAAAGATACTACAAAAATTAAGAAACATTTTCAGGTTATTTTTCGATAGTATCGACTTTTTAAAGTTTAAAATTCAATATTTTTCGATTTTTAAAAAATCATAGAATAGAACGTTTACGATATTTTCGATACGATATTTTATAGGAACATTCTTAAAGTTGGTAATACCTCAATAGAAATGCCTTAAGCATCCTGAAGGTTGGTAAACTCCCAAAATAATATACAAATAAGATTAACCTAGGCATCCTAGAATATATATTGTAATACCCACATCTGTAGAAGAAGCAGCCAAAAGCGAAGGCGATCGCACTTAATGCTCCACTGATTGCACAACGATCGTTGAAAGGGAGAATGCGATAGAGGAGGGACCCAGGAGGATTTCAGGGGTATTAAAGGGGCTTTTTGGAGGGATGGGTATATGCCAGGAGGGAGGGCATCGCGGCGGAATGAAGCAGAAGACACAATTGTAGCCCACAGTCGGTGTCAGTAGGTAGACCCCCATCCCGACCATCATCATCATCATCATCATCATCATCATGATCTCTGCACTACATATAGTAAGTAGTAAATGGCATGTGCATCTATGTGTGTCACAAGGAGCTGAAATTAAAGTAAGGCAGGAGGTTTCTCGGACTGCCGGCATGTGCGGATAGAATAGTTGCTCGCCCTCGTCTTTCCTTCATATACGATTTTCCACCTTTTTTTTTTTTTTAAAGCCACCGCACAATGGGCATTTAATTATTTAACCCTTCTACAACTTCCCCGCCACGACAGACAGCCTAACCGACTCCATCGGGATGCAACTTTGTTGCAATCTGGCAGAGAATTTTTTGTGTAGACTAAGGGGTACCCAAATTCTACAACAATACTATTAAAAGATCATAGTAAAAGTTTAAGGAAAGCTGTGAAAATCTATTCAAGGAGTTTTTTTTATTATTTCATTTATTAAAGGTAGTAAAATATATTTATAAACTCATCTTGAAATCAAAATTTAATCTATATGAAACGATTAAGAGGTTATTAAGCATTATTTATTAGAAGTACATATAATTTTTATATTTTCTTTATTAATTTTTATTACTTTTAACCATCTTTAAAAATACTATAAAATATTGTACTCCAAACTTAACCCAAACTCCCTTTAAACCTCTACCCATACCGATTGTAATGAAAAGTGATTTCTCAGCCATGATGAGCTCTCCTCTCCAGCTGCCGGCTGATTAATCGCGAATCGTGATGGGGCTATCGGCTCGGGATCACGTTCCGACTCCAGCTGAGATCTCATCCTCCATCCTCCCTGCCAGCGGAGGATCCTCCCAGCCTTTGCGTGATTGCGTTATAAATAGTACGTCGGGGTATTTAGATCTTAACTCAAAGATATATGTACAAACCAGAGAATATGATGGCCCTGGGCCCCTGTGGGCGGTGTGGGGTCGTCGTCAGCAACTGATGAACTGCAATGGGAAAATGGAATTCTCGACGTCCGCTAATTGGAGTCCTCGCCCCGCCGACATTCTCGAATGATTTATTCCAAATATTTACACTTGCTTCTGGCCTTATAAATCTCTCCCCAACGAATGCCATTTAAATGTTCTGTTTTTGTCACGCGATCGGGGATCGGTATAGAGATCCCCTCTAGTTTTTGTTCCTTTCCTCTAAGCATGTGGTTTTCATTTTATGGTGACACAATGTCCAAGCCCCAAAAAAAATAATATAAAATAAGTGTCAAGTTCTGGCTGAGCTCTGTTTGAATCATCGATGGCCTTAAATAACGACATGGTTTCGAAAACCACTTGAGAGAAACTTCAACATTTACACAAAAATTATAAAAATTTCAATTTCAATTTTGTTTAAGTATTGAAAGTAATACAAAATATATATTTTATGGTAATAAACATTTTTTATAAATAAAATGTTCTT